CGACACAGGCATTGAGGGTTGACTGGCGTAAGCGGGGGGACCTGATGGAGCGCCTGGATTTGGGGACGAGCACTACGTCAACAAAAGGGCGGGGGACTTACGTATAAGTTACTTACTAGGTTCTATATCATACCCTTTCACCTCGTCTCTCCCCGACACAGACGGCTGCTTCCCATTGAGAGTGATTGGAGGATGCGTGTCGTCACTGGGCGATTCAAGGTTATCGGAGGATCCATAATTATAATATTGTTGCGCGTATGCTTGGGACGTGGTGTGTCTATCAAGCTGAGGACGTGACGTTGAGTCCCATTGCGAATTGTTACTATTGTCTACAGAGGATGGTTGGCCTGACCTACAACGATGATCAGAGTGGGCAGTGGTCAATCGCTCTGGAAAACCAACCGTTGATTATACTGCTGATTGTACTCGTTGATCTTAGCTTTAGCCTTAGACATGATGGAGCTGAAGGTCTTCTTGCCGCCTGCCATATACGGATGCATCAAGCAGTGCAGGACAAGTGAAATACCACCACTGACTTTCCGCCATGCGCCCGATAGTCTCCTGGAACTCCTGGAAATCGCCCCGTTCGCTTCCAGTGACATTCTGTGCTTGCTGATTATGCGAGGGGGCACTCTGCCGAGGCTGATATGGAACACTGTTGCGCCGTGGCCATGCTTGTCCAGAAGCATGGCGTGGCTCCGGCTGATCTTCCAAAGCCAGCTGGCGGGCCAGTTGCTCGTCAAGCGAAACGTCATGGGGCGGCTGAGGAATGATATAGGTAATATACACAAGAAATAAGGGGACAACAAACGTACAGGTGCCTGCCCTTGCGTCGACACATACTCTGGGTCACTCATACCCAACAATGCATCGATTGCACGGTCTTGGTCATAATCCACGGATTCAAGGACGGAAAGGCTGTATAATTGTCCTGTGTGTTAAGTACCATCCAACGGGAGGAGCAAGCTGGGGAAATGTATTTACAGAACAGCTCCATCGAAATCGGGGAACATTGCACGTAGAAGGGCTACTTGTGGGTGTTCATCCTCGTCCTGTATCGCATGTTGTGGTGTACTCTCAGGTTCATGAAGGGCTGGCTGGGAATCGAGACGAGGGGGAAGCGACGGGGTTCCTTCATCTTGTCCTGGATCCATAAGATCAATTATACCAGGCTCTGATCCTGGTATACCGTCTTTGTCCTCAAAGGAAAGCCCATCCGATAGAATGAGCTACATTGCACGAAGTCATGAGGGGTAGAGAACCCACCGTCGTGCGTGGTCTGGGCCGCAGTGCGGGAAACATCGGCGTCGCCTGACATTGCGTCGTGTTTGTAGGGGAGAGATATACGTCGCGTAGTACAGAAAGTACAAGTGGTCAATGTGTATCGTAGTAAGTGGCAGCGTCACACTGCGCGACGCTGCGCATTATGATCTCCATCTCGTGCGCGCGGGTGTCATGACTGGAGTGAAAGGGAGACCGCCGGGCGGAGTTCGTGGTCGGTCTGATTCAGGTCCGCGACCGGTCGACTCGATCCGCCGTACCCCCTTCTCGAGCGTTCTCGAAAATCCGCGACGCAATAGCGCACAATCCTTGCATGTTATACATTATCAGTCCTCATTTTGCAGGGTGGACAGAGCAAGGAGACGAACTATTTTCGTCGCACTGAGTCCAACCGGGCGGCCCGGAGTGAGTCGGGGATGCCAAATAAGGCAGGTGCTGTGATTGAGTTTTCCCGGTTTGCCTGGTCTTGTTCTTTCCGAGTTCTTTCTGCACCCTGCCCAGCGACCAGGGCGCCCGCAATCCACGGCGTGCCTCTTCTAACGTTATTCCTACAACAACATGGGCAATGAGGTCCGTCGCTTATCACTCGCGTACAATCTCGGGCGCAATTCTTTGCTGTTTGGGGTTCGGCGACGCCCAGGACCTATAATCACCTACAGCAATTTCTCGGCTCCCACCGACGCCAGCGGATGGCTCAATTCCGCTGGCTTTGTACTCGCAGCAGCCGGTCTCTACGACCTAGGCACGTGGGAAATTGCTTGTGCGCCAGAGCTACCGCGTCCTCACCTCACTTGCAACACTTCGCATCTATAAGAAGCAGCTCAGGTATCATGATCCCCATCATCCATTTAAAACCCAAACTCTGGACAGCTGCTGGTCTGCTCGTCCTTCCATGAGACCATGGCTTTCAGACGGTACTTGAGCTACTTCGCCTCTCCGCATTCTCCTCGGGACACTCACTCACCAGACTTCCCGGTAAATGCTCATCTCCATGAGCTGCAGCGATTTTGGAAGTCGACGTACGAGGACCTGCTCAAAGAAGGCGACGAGATAAGGTCGACTGCCATGATGCGCTTGTCTTCCATGCGGGAGGGACTGTCGGTGTCGGACTCATGGGACTTGCAGACGCTGTATGACGGGTGTGTTACCTATGTCCTCTCCCGGGCTTCAGAGCATATATCTTTATTTTATCTAGGCTTGTTGTCGAGAGGGAAGAACTTTCGGAGCTCTTACAGTCTCCAGAGAGACTCAGTTTCGAACTAGTTTCGAGGGCCTCTAGCTACAGATCGCGCGCAAAGTCTCTGCACGGAGAAGTCCAAGTGAGTGTCCTTTCAGCGCCCCGAAGGCGATTGAGGCTCACATCCTTTGGCTTCTAGGAGGTAGTGCGGCGCTCACAGGCCGACCCTGAGGCCGCTCGTGCGAAAAGTTCTCAACCGGAACAGATCAAGCTGGAGTCCCGTGCTCAAGCACACGCGATCCGTCCCTCTCTCTTGCCCGGTTTGTATACGCGATCAGCTAGACTTCCCAAATCTGACGTATGATATTAATTCTTGACAGGGGACTCTGACACAGAAGCTGATGAGCTTTTGCTCCGAGATGGAAGTCAATATGACACTGCCGACTGGACTGGAAGGGATATCTGCGAGTCTCCGACGAGCTATGCCTCATCTTCAGGCTGCTTTCCTGCAGACACTGATTCATCTATACTTACGGAGTCGGCTACCGGGAGTAAGTCAGATATCGCCGAATCACTCCTTGAATCTCCGTGGGACTTGCATATAATTGACTCCGGTGTGTCACAACGTTTCATTGTCCCGAGCAGTCAATTGAGCAGGCACCTCGCGTTCTCCAGATAGCGACGCACCGTCTGCTCTGCCTCGTGTATCCGGAATGCCTCGCAACTGTGTCTTGTGTTTTCAAAGCATGGATCAGTGTACAACATGTCATGTCGCACCACATGAGCTCCCATGCCGACGGAGTCTCACCCTTCGCGACCGCCGCTCGACACGCACAGATTCATGGGGAAGCACGGATTCCTCTTGTGGACCAATCACCCCGATCTCCGCTCGCCAGTCTGCTCCCCGACTAATGGACGTTCTTTCGTCGTCGCCTGACTTCCTATTCAAGCTGAATCAGGCCTTTGACGGACTTGACACGTTAATCGACGGTATTTAACACCCTCGCGCTGACGTTTATCACCGTAACTAACGATTGTTTATTTTCAGTGAAGGAGCTGGAGTCGTTGTTATCGGTCATCTCTATTGAGAAATGTGATCCGCCATCACAAAAGTGCCCAACACAAGACAGTCTGCATTTGCACAGGCCAGAGCATTCCTTTTCAGACTTCTTGCCACCCAGCCGTGCTCTCGAAGCTCAAAGCACACCGTCTCAGTTTCCGTTCCCTCCAGTTCCACGTCTGCGTCGTTCCAGAACCGCGCAGCCTGTTGGTGGACGTCCTATGCATTCTCCATCATCCCTCTTCCCGACTCGGGGTCTCAGGCATTTAAGGTCCGCGGATAGCTTAGCCATGTCACCAAACAGCAGAGTTGCGTACAGGTCGGACGAACATGACGAAGATTCGTTTATGGATGATCTTGTCGAGACCTATAGGTGTCAGGGCCTACGTACACCACGGTCTAGTACGCCGGACGAGAGTTAATCGAAATTCGAGACGTACTTCCGGCTAGCAGACCAACACCACTCGCAATTTCCTACACTCGCCATTCGTTCTTGAGGAACGGAATGTAAATCCCCAGACATACACACTCACTCGATTCGCTCTGTATCGATAGACCTTCGGCGTCCGCGCGACGCCGTTTCTACTGTATTCGTACGCTCTCTTTAGGTCACCGTCATCTTCTTCGCTGCTGTCGCTGTGTCTTGATTGGCATACTTCTCCTACTCATCTGACCTTTGTAAAAACTTGTTCATGATCTTATTCACATCACAATGGTATCTAGCTTCTCATCGAGAACTGCGCACGTCGTGCCGCAGCACGTACCGCCTAGAGACACACCTACAACTTGCAGACTGCATCCCCTCGTAAAAATACCTAGAACCGGCGACCTCCTCCTGATGCACCGGGAGGCCATTTCGCCGTAAGATTATTTGCCTCCCAGTCAACTGTGTAATATCATCGTGTGTCAATGTACAAATGGGGATGGGGCCGCCGCTGGCGAAGCTAATGCTGTAAACTCGCCCGCGTTGCCGACCATGAGGAGACCAACTGCAACAGCAAGCACAATGCAACAGTAAGCTGTCGTGTATCCGTGTCGAGCGGTAAAAGCGCACGTACCGATCAAACCAAATAACCCCATGATACTGCCGAACACCTCTACAATAAGGATCTTTACGAACAGGTCTGGATCTGCCGCATCGGCCAGCGCTGCGGTCGAGCCTGTAATCCCGACGCAAACGCCGCACAGCAGGTTGCACGCGCCCACTGTCAGTCCGCCCCAGAAGAGGGCATATCCTAAGAAAAGGTGAAATGGCGTAAGCGCATTAGTGATCTCCGGAGGGCAGAATGTTGCTACCTGTGAAATAGTTTTCTCGTGTATATAATTGAGCCTCGGGAACATTTGTAATTTTGGCGGAGTACACGATGCCAATGATCTAGAAAGAGGTGAGACTGGCTAACATTGCGGTAAACGGTGCCTAGACGCACTACGCCATAGATGGCAACAACCTCGCAGAAGATGATACTAAAACACCATTAGCCTGGGATCGCTTCTCAAGTAAATGGGACCAATCGCACCTGATGAGGTTCTTTGTGCGTATTCGGGGAGCTCTGACACCGCCACCGAGGATAGACGACCCGGTTACGAAAATGCCCCTGCTCACAGATGTGAGCTCTACAAATGCATATGTTTGGACAAACATCGCACCATCCCGCCCCCAGCACACTCAAGCCAATGCAGAGTCCTATTCCGGTTGATGCCCATGCGTACGGACTGGTCTCCTCCAGGAAACGACCGACATTGAACGCCTCTCCTGAACCTGGAAGAGGTACATCTGTGAGTGCACTGTGTGCACCATTTGAATAATAAATTCACCAGTAAACAGTAAATAGAGCCCAATTACGACAGCGAGAAAGGTAGGAAGGCCATAGCTGTAATATGATGTATAAAGGCCCATGGTGGTGGGCAGCATTGAAGTCAGTCGCACCGGCGTCTACCTGCCTAAATAGCACCGTCTGCTGGCGGCGGGAGCGGGCTCGGAATTTTGCGCTGCGCGGCAGTCGCGCAGCCAGGATGGCCAAGCCCGAGCCGCGTCTTGGTTGGTGCTTGCAATATGTATCATTTGATCAAGGGGTTTTACGAATACTTTACGAGGTATGTCCTTGCTATGTTTGATAGTTCAACGAAAGGCTAAAGACTTCAGGAAGGAAGAATTCTCTGTCATTATTCTGGGGCTTGATGGTGCGGGCAAAACGGTGCGTATACGCCTCGCGCTAAATAGTGCATACATGATACCTAGTTGCAGACGTTGCTGGAGAAGATAAAGACGCTATACAACGATACACCTGGTCTTGCACCCGACAAGATAGGGCCCACTGTTGGTCAAAATAGTATGATACCGTGAATAATAAATGTCTTCAGCGGCTCACTACCGGAGTATAGTGGGCAAGATCACACTTCCATCGACCATCTTGCAGTTTTGGGATCTTGGTGGACAGCGTGGCATACGGTCTATCTGGCACAGATACTACGATGACTGCCATGCTGTTGTGTTCGTTCTGGATGCGCAGGACAGGGAGAGGCTGGGTGAAGGTTGGGAAGTCTTCGGTACGTGTGTCCTAAAAGTCTCCTCAATGTAACCTCACAAGCTGACGGTGTGAAAGGATACTAGACTCTGTGCTGTCCTCACCCAAGATCTTGGGAGTACCCCTCCTTTTACTTGCAAATAAGCAGGACAGCCCGCAGAGCCTGTCTGTAGAGGAGATCCGAAACGGTTACGAAGAGTGGTACCAGAGTAAACAGGATGCTGCCCGTCGGCAGTACGGAGATGAGATTGAGCTCGAGCAACGACGGGACCGTTTCGCAAGTTTGGACGTCATGGGAATATCTGCCTTGGAAGGGTGAGCCAAAGTCATGGAGAGTCAGCCCATTTCTCATCCGCGGCTGCAGAACTGGCGTGCGTGCAGCAGTTGATTGGCTTTTCATTCGTGTGCAGAACAGTCGACGTCGGTGAGTCGTATCATGGTGTATTGTGATGTTTCTCAACTGCTATGGTAGAGATGAACGAGATGATGGTAGATAATGTCATACTGTCTCAACCATACTTTGCCGTCTTCCTTCTTTCATGAAGGTTATCATGGTTCGTCAGAGCAAGAGCTTATGGGGACCCTTGCGCATATGGGTACTAATAACTTCTGCTCTTCTGTTGTGCTCCATCGCTTTGTTCAGCTTGCAGTATACTAATGTTTCTATTCTTTATTAATGGAATCGTGCTCTGTGGGAATGGTTTGATCGTTCAACGTGTATTTCCTCTGGTTTATGACGCGATATGCGCGTTGACTCAAGGTTGTGGCGCTCAGAACCATCCCGATCAGAATCTCAGAGTGTTGCCCCTGCCATTGCGGTTGCGGGCGCCTACGAGAACCGTGTGCCGCTACTACTCTGGTGCTATCGTTAGTCCCTCACTATCTGGCTGCAGCTTCTGCGCACAGGCAGACGTCGTGTGACTACAGTGCATGAATGTCGCGTGAAAGAGCGACCGAATATGGGCACCCCTCTGTGTCGGTCGAAGCAGACGAAGAAGACCTGGAGCTGATCAGGTGAGTACGACGCCGGCACATGCACTGATGCAGAAAGCCGCCAACCTGATTGCTCGTGTGGGTCAGGAAATACGAAGACTTTACTACAATAGGTGCCGGCGGTTTTGTCCATGAAGCACACTCACACTCAGTCACAAATAGACTGGATCCAGGATGCAATTATTGAGCGAAATAGACGTATCCGCACTGCGCAAAGACTACACGCGTCATCGTATCGAATACATGGAACGCGAATAGAGGTCGTGTCTGCTTGGGTATGGTCGCGGCTATTGAGAGTTGTGTATACGTCACAAAGCTGGTTAGTGGTCAGTCTCGTTGGTGAGTACTTGGACTCTGGCACAGGTCATGTCTGTATTAACTAGATTGGGCAGGGGTGTGCATAGGGCTCAATGCTGCCATCATCTCTATAGTTACAGCATGGCTATCAGACCTCAAAATGGGGTACTGTTCGGACGGCTGGTGGCTGAATCGACAGTTCTGCTGCTGGGAGATTGAGGGTGGAGACGACGCTTGCGATTCATGGCACTCCTGGAGCACAGCTGTGGCCGTTCGATGGGTTATTTATGTCTTATTTGCGGTACGTCTATCACTTTTTTTAAGCGGACGGGAAATTCAACGACGTGTCTGTCAGACTACATTCTCATTCACAGCAGCGCATCTTGTGCGCTCGATAGCCAAGTACGCCGCTGGCTCGGGTATATCAGAAATCAAGTGTATACTCGCAGGTTTTATCATGAAGGGATATCTCGGCTTCGGAACTTTCTTCATCAAGAGCATGACTCTAGTGTGTTGCTTTGTCGCTGTCTTGTATACTTCTCATGGACAGTAGCCATTAGTTATTGCTTCAGGCTTGTCGGTGGGGAAAGAGGGCCCTTCTGTTCACGTGGCTTGTTGTATTGGCAACCTTGTTGCAAGCCTCTTCAAGCGGTATTCACGCAACCAAGGTGGGTTTTGACTGGCTTTTTAATGATCTGTCTCTCAACTGGAGTCCTAGGTAAAATGAGAGAGATATTGACAGCGTCAAGTGCTGCTGGTGTCGCCGTAGCATTTGGTTCTCCCATAGGCGGAGTTCTTTTCTCGATTGAGGTGTGTGAACATCTGATCTGTACTGTCGCTATCTCCCGACTCTCTCAAACCTAGGAAATGAGTAGTATGTTTAGCATCAAGACGATGTGGAGAAGCTTCTTTTGTGCACTAATGGCCACCGTCACCCTTTCTGTTAGTAGAATGAATCTGTTTCAATTACGCTCTCGTGATTTAACTATAATGGTATCTAGGCTATGAACCCATTCCGCAGCGGAAAGCTCGTACTGTTTCAAGTTACCTATGATAGAGACTGGCATTTCTTCGAGATCTTCTTCTTCGTCATCCTCGGTATATTTGGTGTGAGTATCTGTATGATCCCTTAGTTTCCTGTAAAGTGATTATTTTTCAGGGCTTGTACGGTGCTTTCGTAGTCAACTTCAACCTGCAGGTCGCCGCATTTAGAAGAAAACATCTCGGAAATTTTCCTGTCCTTGAAGCGGTCACACTCGCGACGGTCACAGCAATGATAGGCTACTTCAATCGCTTCTTGCGAATTGACATGACCGAAAGTATGGCCATCCTTTTCAGAGAGTGTCAAGGTGGTGGAGATTATGACAATATTTGCCAGTGAGTCCGGGAATCTGATGTGGATTGAATTTCGCTTGACAAATCCAGGACTTGGGCACAATGGCCCATGGTGAGCTCGCTCTTCATCGCTACCGTTTTCCGCGTAGGTCTGGTCGTCATATCATACGGCTGCAAGGTGCCTGCGGGTATTTTTGTGCCCTCGATGGCAATCGGTGCGACATTCGGGCGTATGGTCGGAATCATGGTGAAAGCATTATACCGGTGCGTCACTTGGTGTAGGTCAGACTTACGTCTCTTTGACACCTTCTACAGTGCATATCCAACATCAAGTATGTTCGTTGCATGCAAGATGGATGTACAGTGTATAACTCCCGGAACGTATGCATTCCTTGGTGCTGCTGCTGCGTTAAGGTAGACTTTCTTCAACATAATTGACATTTTTCTTATACAACCTTCACACAGCGGTATCATGAGACTTACCGTGACCGTAGTTGTGATCATGTTCGAGCTGACTGGTGCCTTGAATTATATTCTGCCAACCATGGTAATCCCGTCCCTATACTGCTCTTCCGCCTACACACCTCAGAGCTCCTACATAGATTGTCCTCTTGGTCACGAAAGCCGTGGGTGACTTCCTGGGGACTCATGGGATTGCCGACGAGATGATTAGGTTCAATGGTTATCCCTTCTTGGAGAATGATGACAAAGCATACAATGTTCCTGGTGAGTCTGAGATTGCGATGATATATGACATATGAAGTAACTATGTGTGAGGTAGTCTCAAGGACTATGCGACGACAGTTGTACACATTGCCTGCTTACGGGATGAATGTTCGAGATATCGGTGAGTACAATAAGAATTTTGAGTCCAGTGCTCCGCTCATGGACACAGAGGAACATCTTTCCAACACTGATGTCAAGGGTTATCCCGTTGTCTCTAACAAAACCAGCCAAACACTTGTCGGGTACATCGAACGATCTGAGCTGCTATATGTCCTAGGTAAGGATAACCTGATGTTTTTCTGCCATGCTTGCCGCTTAGACAGACGATTTAGAGAAGGCGCGTAAGGTTCGGGACGTCTTACCCGACACACCATGCACCTTTATGTCCAGCGCAGAAGATCATGCTGAGATCGATTTACCCGTCAATATCCCCGGCATCGCCACTGGGCCCGCCGTGGGGATCGACGAGGACATCTCTATGGAGATTTTGGAGAGTACCTCCACTCCTGAGGCACTTAAGTTTTGGCCGTGGGTCAATCAAGTGTGTTTTCCAGTATACTAGGACCGGCCGGCAATTAACGTCTTATCCAGACTCCACTCACAGTATCCCCTCAGCTCCCATTAGAAATAGCGATGCAAATGTTCAAGAGATTAGGGTGAGTTCAACTTGTCGGCTACCTCGGAGCTATTCTTAACATGAGTTTGACGGACTTACAGGCCTCGTGTCATCCTGGTCGAGGACCGAGGCGTTCTCGCAGGACTGGTGACGGTAAAGGACGTGCTGCGCTTCACCCTCATGGAACAGAATCATACACACTCGCCTTGGAGTGAGCACGAGTTTGAAGGCATCGTTGAAGAGGTGTGGACATGGACAAATGATCGAGTGTATACGATAGCATCATGGTGCCGTAGACTGTTCCGGCGGTAGTATGTACATCGATATTTGACTGAGCCAGCGACGAGACTACAATATTCGACTGGGAGCCATAGTAAAGGGTCAGTATTTCGAGATCCTGTAAGACGGTAGAGCTAATGTAGACTCCATGACATCACGTGATCTATTGTGTCACATTTGGCAGGGGAGAGGACAAAAAATGTATAGGCTTTCCCTGCGTAACTATGAAAAAGTGGAAACCGATAATTTGTCAGGAGCACCAGTGCTGAATTTTTGGCTGTCTTCGTTTTGTTATATTTGACGTTCACACAGAGGAGATAGAGATACAAGAATGCCGACACAATTAATATGCCGATAAGCCCGAATTAAGCATTTTAAGTCATAATTCCGTCATTTAACAAACTTGTCGACCGTTCCTACTTACCGTACTTAAGTACAGTGTTTCAGTGGTCCTTGGGACACCGGTATTCCTTGAGACACTCGCTCTTCCTCCTGACTAGGTAATGAATAACATCGATCACCTGATATTTTAATCTACACTCTATTAGACTACATGCTAAAAACAACTTGGGGCTGAACGGTCTTCAATTGAGGTTTCGAGGACATGATATATACCCAATTCTGCCTACTTTGAGGGATTTCACAGACTCTGCCAGAGATCTAATTCTGAATTTATGAACACCACATAGCTAACCTATTTGCATTCAACTTCACCCAATAAACCATGGCATTTTGTCGCAGATTGAGGTCTGCACGGGTGCGTTCAACACGCACACGCTCATACAGCATGTCTACGAAACATGCACGGACTCACATAGATTGTTATGCACGTAGATAACCATCCAGTACTAACTTGTATATATTCTCATGCTTCGGAACGTGATGCTTCAGGATAAGTGTCCTGAAGCATCCATACATCTCCCTTTTCGCTATGAATCCTACTCGTATACTTACAGTAGATGACAGTGACGATTCAGTCACTGTCGAGTATGTTATATCTAGAAGTGTCCTGAAGCATCCTGACTGAATCGTCGCTGTCAGGCTACACTGCGCGCGCGCAAACATTTGTTCGGCGCTGTTGTACAAGAACTCAAGAAGTTCTTTGATACATTTGGTGTAGAATTACACGATCTAGGAGAATAAAATGAATGCGTGACATTGAGGACGCAAGCATCACATGCGATGGGGTTGGCGGTGACTCAGAGTAGCGTCCGCGCTCGATCGCAGTGTGCCACGGGGGATGTCACACTGTGTCACGGTGTCCCAAGGAACCCAAATCACTCGAAAATGAGTACAGGTAACAAATTGAATTCTGTTGGAGGGTACATTGCAGGTTTTATTCTGATAAAATTCATAGAGGACTTGAAGACACTTCACAGATTTCCTGTATAACATTTGGCGTAATTTGGAAGTGTGGGGCACACAAAACGAAATATGCAAATTGGTGTCCCCAGGACCACCGAAACACTGTACTGCGGGCATGAGTCACCGATCCCCTGAGTTATCAGTGTGACAAATGTGACCGATCAGCTTCATCGGGCTATGCGTGACACGATCTGTGACGTGGACCAGCGCAAACAAAGATCGACAAACAGCTGTCTCAGATCGATTGGTCGGGCCAACCGCAGCCTATAGTTGCAATGATCGGCATAGCTTCATCTACCAACCCACTCGGCTCGAGTTCCTGGTCCAAAGCTTGCTTATGACTCACTGTTGAGCGTTCGACATGAGGCTTCCTGTCGGAAATGACCTGGGATGTTCTAGGACCTGGGATAAGCCTGAGAGTGCAGGCTATAAGCCGGCAGGGGGGACTTAGAGACTGACGGGCCAATGCGGCGGGAATATATACGTACCTCTGCATGTCGAGTAGGAACTCATTCTTGTAAACCCCCTAGACTCTCAATGATGGAGTATTAGATTTAGATTATATCGCATACATATAAAAAACTGAGATACATGCTGGCCTAGACACTATCTGACTATAAGATACACGTAACGAGTGTCTGATGCTCATGAGATGTTTGATGTTGTACAGCTTCCATTGAATATGAGACTTTCTTAAAGTCTCACTTGAAGTTCACTCTTCAGGCGACTCGCATATGAATCGGTGCAATGCTGTAGATAAATATCAGTCTAGGGCGTAAAACTTTATTTGTCTGGAAAGCATACAAGAGCCATCAATTATCCACGGATCCTCTTCTAGATCAATACTTATGTAGGGTTTGTGCGACAGGGGCACGTCTATTTCTTCGTCGTCCGGATGCTGTGCGATGGCTTCGTTCAGAGCAATTGAAGAGGCTTTGTTCAACGAAATTGTCTCTAGCCCAACATAGCGCTCGCCGTTGTCAGGGTTTGACAAAACAGTTGGCCGCACAAGTTTCCACATTGTTGTATTTGATGCTCGCTCTGAACCATCTTCAAGCGAGCTACCGTCGTATAATGATGGAACACTGATCAAAGAATATGCTGACGTGTTGCAGATAGCTTTGTAGGGATCAGTGTAAGCAAATCAATACATGGAGAACATCACCTACTAAACGTAACAAAGTTTCCCTCTTCCGGCACGTTTTTCTTGAGACGCAGAGTTTGTGCATATTCGGATGATCGCTAACACTGATCGTGAATATGACCGTAATCACAATAATAATCAAGACATGCCTTAGCTTCTTCCAGGAGGGCTACTGTGTTCTCTTCGAAATCGCGGGCCTCCTTATTCAGCCGTACAGGTGTCCAGATGGCGGACTTGATCCTGCTTATCGTAAATGTAAAGGAGGCAGATTTCATTCCTTGTGAAGGCTGGCTAGCTTCGCGCTGCATTTCATCCGCCTGAGCGAATAGCCTGATAATGCAAAGTGAAGTGAAACTCGAACCAGCGGAAGATGTCAGTGAGGATGCATACCTGTCATGTTGACGCCTTAACTTATGGATATCAGAGTGCGGTAAAACATCGCCTACTGAAGCGCGTTCCACATAGTCTATGGCATTAAGAAGGTTTTCTTTGCCTCTGTTGATTCTTCTAGATGTGCGTGTAATAGAGCCGGCGGCAGAGACCGTACGAACTGCACCAGTAAGGATTGCAGTCATGCGAGCCGCGTCGGAGGCGACCTCTAGAGAAGACATTACGAGCACAGAGCGAGAGATGGGTTCAGGCAATTGTAAGTGACTTTTACGGGGTTGTATGGGTTGTCAACTAATAGGTTTCAGGCAATAGTAGCCAGCAAAGAGGCAAAGACAAAAGCAACGCGAAAGGGGAACGAGACGTTGACGCCTATATAATAGCCATATCATGTGAAGAAGCCCACCGTGATCAACATTAGGTAAATGTTCGTCCATGACACTTGGTATCCAAGGGCAATAACAAGAGAGCTTCGAGACAGTATTTGTGAGGGGACCCCGAGCTCCTGTCGACAAATAATGCTATCGGTCGGTTTTTACAACGGAGGAAACAAAAGCCATCAGAGCTAAAACTTACACACGCGCTCTTTCTTAATTGAGATTATTTTGGGGGTACTGAGTCATGAGTCACAGCAAAGAAATGACCATTTCCCCAATGAGGAAAGGCCCATTTTGCAAGGGACTCGGAAAGGCTTACTCAATTCAGTTGGCACTTTCCCAATGCCTTTAAGTTTCCAACACCTTTTTATGGCAAGAACCAGGCTGAAATTGATGATTTCCTCTAGTGTGAGTGTCAGCACCTCCGCACGCGACGGCTTCGATTTCAACAGCGTCTACATTCGGCAAGGCATATCTTGTTAACGACTGCTGTTACATGTAGGTACGAGCCGCTGGAGGAACGGGTGCTTAGGGTTAGGTAATAGACAAGGGAAATGCGACAGATAGTCCATCCAGCACGTTCCATCTTGGCCAGCCGTTACAAATACTTACCTGCGCCAGTTATCGCCGGGCGGTTCGAAACGCCGCGCCTGATTCATAGATGACCTTCTCTATCTATCGCAAGTCTATCGTTCTCGGAACACTTGTGGGTTAACAGGCCGAGGCGTTTTCGAATCTAAGTGAGTTGATCGACACTTGTGACAACGTGACAGTCATTGGGATCAGTAAGCGCTGTTAGTCACGTCACGAATGTTGAGCTTGTTGCTTTATGTCGACCAATGCTGAGAATCGTTCTTATTCCCCAGAGATCGATCCTGGTGACCTGGAGCCTCATGAATATTTCTGGAGGGATCATCAGCCATGGCTCGAGGAACGTGGATACATGCTACGCCCACGCTACCGACCCGACTGGGTACCATCTTGGAAGGGAACCAGCAAGAGATATTGGAGCTGTGAAGACGGACAGGCGATCCAGGTACGCTTCAAGTATTATCCAAGCTGATACAACTCAAGGAGGGTCGCTCATAGAGGTCTCAAATTATCGATGCGACGCGTATTGCTGACGGGGACATGGTAGCCTTGAAAAAGGTCGAAATTTCAAAGCACCCATACGAGGTAGAGATTGGCAACTTTCTCTCATCCGAGCCATTCATTTCACATCCTCGAAATCACTGTGTACCCATCTACGAAGTCTTGCGTGTACCGGACGATAGCGATGTTGTGCTTCTAGTAATGCCTTTGCTCAGGCGGTTTAATAGCCCCCGATTTCAAACCATTGGCGAGGCTATTGAGTTTTTTCACCAGGTTTTTGAAGTACGTCCATGTTTAAATCATCTTTGACTTGTGAACTTACGCCATTCTAATGGAAGGCATTGCAATTTATGCATCAACTCCGCATAGCACATCGGTAAGAGTGTTGACATGCTCTCTACATTACTATTCATCGAGATTATAGCGACTGTATGAATCTCAACATCATGATGGACCCGAAACCGCTATATCCCCAAATGTATCATCCCGTTCTTGGTCTGCGGTCGCACAACTTCACGGGCACTGCGAAGCATTATACGCGCACGGCTCGGCCAACCAAATACTATCTCATTGATTTTGGTATCTCTCGCAGATACGATCCGGCTATCACGTCTCCTCGTGAACCGCCTATCAGAGGTGGAGACAAGACCGTGCCCGAGTTCCAGCATTCCGATGACCCTTGCGATCCCTTTCCTACGGATATATATTATTTGGGTAATATGATAAGGGAAGACTTTCTACAGGTATGCGAATATTTTTTTCGTTCCCCAGAGGTTGAATTAACGCATTCCGCTTAGACTAAGCAAGGATTTGAGTTCATGCGGCCTCTTGTTGATGATATGGTCCAAGATGATCCCAGTCTACGGCCCACCATCGACCAAGTCGTCATGCGTTTTCAAGAGATTCGGCAAGGTCTGGGATATTGGAGGTTGCGTTCCAGGATCGTGGATCTAGAAGAACTGTTCGTTGACAGGGTCTACAGAAATACCAAGTATATTTTCCGAACGATCGGCTATTTACTCACATTCCGAAGCCCCGTCCCTACACCTTAGTCTGATAGCTGTGGCTCATTTTTCATTCTACTTGGTTATGTACTATTGCTCTCATACGCTGTCCGCTGAGATCCTCTTGCTTGCCTCTCGCGAATACCTCATGCATTTTATCAACCTATCCGCCCTCTTTCCCTAAGTAGCTCCGGCCCCAAACGCAAGTCTTATCCTAGATGTTTTCCATCGAGAGCCATAAATGGCAATGGTTGTATGATAGGATGACTATGAAGCTTGTCGACCTGTTGCGTGGTCTCGCTCTGCGGCGTACAAGCACTATAGGGATCTTGTCGACGAGGCCTACGGGGGCTGAGGCGTATTGACTTTACATCCTTTACTGGCCGCATGTAAGTAAGCCATATAACTCGCCGCCTTGTGACAATCATACCCAACACTGTCCGGGGTCCGGCACTAATAGATCGGATTTCAAAGTTCGCAAACAATATTCAGTCTCGTGAAAATATGGACTTGTCAGTGTGAGTGCTGTCACGTATTTTTGCTTCTTTGCACCCACAGCAAAAAAATGACCATTCCCTCAGTGTGTAGGAGAGGTTTATTTTGCAAAGGGAGAAAGGCCTACTCCATTCAGTTGATATCTGTCCGATGCTTTCCCGGCGCTTTTCCATTACAAGAAACCGGCGATGCTCTTTGTTATGCGGGCCCGTTTTTCTGATTGGCACCCACGCGTTGACTATAGTGACAGCTGTCTCAAACACAACAAATTCTATGCAGCTAAGTAATTCCCGATGGGGTAGGACGTCCAGCCAATGAACTTGGCGTCAGGGACTGACATTACACATACTAAATATCAGCTATATTAATTCAAGTTCTTTCCAACCTCACCCTAAATGCTTTGTGTCGCACTGGCATAGCCCGTTTCGGCTCACAGCTTATTTTAGAGCACTTAAAAGTCGCAAGTTTGGCAGGGACGGACTCAGTGAGAGGCCTGAGCGTCATCCTCGGACGACCGAGGTCTTTCCGACTGTGAGTCACACTCTCTAGGTGCAGGTCTGATGTTGCCGATGCTCACTCTTCCCGTTGATGTAGTCCATACTAGGATTTCAGGACTGCCACGAACGTACACTGAACCCCTGAGATTTCGTTTGTGAAATGTTTAGTAATATTTTTCGAAGGTGATAATCTCGTTCTCGTGTTCTACTCGTCGCTTTGACCAATTGGTCATGGCTCCGGCAGCTCTGCCCCTCTTAAAGATACTCCGCCGGAAGATAGTCAGAACAGTGAGTATTAGACCTCACTGCATCCCGTTTGATGTTTGTACTAGTAGACGATTACAGAACCTATCCCTTCCGCACCCTACTATTGGTTCGAGGAGAGAAGTGTGCTAGGTGAAATGATTCGTCGTGTTTATGTCTATAAGGTAAATGTCTACACTTCAATTGTACTTTCCAGTTCTGATGATCATGGTAGGAGGTTATATCCATCCTTCATACATTCAGCTTGTCATCCACCTTCTCGGTTGATGCCAGTAAACCTTCCTTGATGGGTTACAAGTCATCAAACCACGACGACGTTGTCCCAAGACGCGGAGTTCATCGCTGGTATGAGGAATTTCGCAACGCAGTCGAGAAATGGAGTCGTCTGGATCTCGTCCAGAGCCTTGCATCGCATCATGACATTGCTAAGGAGATTCGAGGTTTCATAAGACGCCATCCGACTAGGCATCACTGGGGCGCTTCGGTTTGTGCAGACTCCGCGTTAGCGACTACACCAGTGCATTCATCTGATGATTATCCAGGATTTACCACATAACTGGGAGACAAGCGGAATTATCCCGGCCGTTGTTACCCTTATGAAATCCAGTGACAATGTCGAAAAAGTTATGCATATAGAAGCTACCACCGCAGAGTCAGTGATCGAAATATTAGACAAGGTCAGTACGTCTAGTCGGAGCGTTTGCAGAAGTAAAAACATCTCTCGTCCAGGTGCTTGACGTCCAAAATGAGTATATAGACCGCATAGCTTCGTCTATCCAACATACTCTCCAGCGACTCTGCCGTAAATTTGCCTATCTTCCGTCTTCTTGCCATCTAGCACCCTCCCGAGTTAGATTTCTCGGCAGAGAAAGAGTAGCCAGTACGTCATTTGGGGGTGTATGGCGAGGCGAACTGGCTTCGGAATCCGAGCCTTCTACTATGACAGTTGCCTTGAAAGGGTTCTATTTCCAAAACAGGGAGGAGTTAGAGAATATCCGCAAGGTGCACAGTTTGCATACGTCTCCGCTAGATGCTAACGTGTAAGTAGCAATTCTACAGAGAGGCTATTCTATGGAAGCAGCTTCATCATACCAACATCGTACCGTTTTTAGGTGTCAGTGCCACAGACACCATGGAGTTGATGTTCGTGAGCCCATGGATGGACAATGGGGATATCGTCAGCTACTTGGAGAAGCATCCCGAAGTAGAGCGAGTGTCCAAGGTCAGTCAAGACTACGCTCGAACGATCTAGAGGCTGGCTAATTTGTCTCACCATAGATCATGAATATCGTGGATGGTCTCTCGTATCTTCACACGCGGAACATCATTCACGGCGATTTAAAGAGCGTAAGTAAAAGATGATATATCTCAAATCTGTGCACTTGACGATGCCTGCCGATTTTAGGCTAATATTCTGGTCAATAGAGTTGGAGTACCCTGTCTAGCTGACTTCGGTCTTTCTACAGTCATATACAATGCCGACACTGTCAACATCACGTCGAGGACAACAGGGAGAGCGGGTACGTTGCGGTGGATGGCACCAGAACTTTTCGATCCCGAGCGGTTTGGGCGTGATCATGCATATCTCGCTCACGAGACCGACGTATATGCATTAGCGATGGTGATGGTGGAGGTACGGTCTCTTGTATGTGGGCCAGCTCTGAGATATCCTCACAGATTCAGCTAGGTGTTCACCCTCAATTTGCCATTCGCTGAAGTCAAACGAGATCAAGCAGTCCAATACATGGTTGTTCAAGGAAAGCGGCCGTCGCGTACCCCTGAAATGGATTCGTATGGACTCAACGATGGAATCTGGAAGCTGATGACAGAGTGCTGGGATGCAGATTATTCGAGACGTCCCGCGCTTCCTGATGTGCACACGAGACTTCTCATGTCGACTGTCTAACCAACAGCGATTATACTATCAGGAACAATGCAGACTATGTAGTATGTACTTCTTTCAATCGGAGGATTAGGTTCCATTTACGATACAGAATGACTCGGGATCTCAGTACCACAAAATACTTGTAGAAAAACAAGCCACTATTTAATACGTTCAATATGACTTCAGGATGTAGCGCCTGTGCTGGCTCTGCGCAACTGGGCAACTCCCCCTGACATGTAGACTGGTAAACCTGTCGAGTCCTCACCTCTCGTTTCCACGGCGGCAATACCGTTTGCATTATTGTACTATTAAACAAATAGTATGACCATCCGGAGGTAGCACGCGCGCTCACGTTCTACGTAAAGTACAAGATTGCGAGCTGCCGGACCCCCCAAACCTGCTATGAGAGTTACACATGATAAGTATGATTCGCGCGTTGCCATACGTAAACAATGCGGCTCGCTCATCGAAGTGAAACTTGACAACACCATCTCCAATCCGGCAGTGCGCTGTGGGACCCCAGTGGCTTTATCCGGATGCCCCTCGTAGTCATATCAGAAGCTGAGCGAATCACATAATATATCGAACTCTCAGCTTCTTTGAGCCGGAAGTGAGCACATGTTACCTCTTCTTGGGTGTTTGCGGAAGAGATTCCGTCGCGACGGAAGTAGAACGACGATCAGGATACCTGTTTGACATATATATATCGCGATAAGAATTCACAAGCTCACCCTGCAAGTTTGTGCCAGCCACTTTCAAACTGACTGCATTGT